ATTCCGTGTGGGTGTCAGCGGGAGCTGCCTCAGCGCAGATGACAGATGGCACAGGTTGGTCAGAGCCAGGGCCTTGCCTGCTAGCCTCTTAACCTAGGGTCACAGCCTGTTCTTCGTTACTGTAGCCGCTTGTGATTTATTAGTGAAAGGCAGGCAGAGCCTTCAGACAAAACCCTGTCTGTCTCTGGACCATGAGCGTTGGATGCCGATGGTGCCTATATTGTCGGAGCCCACGGCTCTTCCGTTCCACACCGATGCTGCTGTGGGAGCTCCTTGCCCCTGTGCTGACTCCAAGATGGCAGCTCTTCCTTCTGTCCATGTTGTTTATTTTCCTGAGGATTTTTTTTTTTTTTTTGACAAATGAATGTTTCAGGTGACAGGCATTGTTTCAAGATGGTGTCGCTGTGTTGCGTGTCAAGAAATGCCTTGAACTGCTAAGTTGTCATTGCTGTCACAGGAAAGAGTGTGGTTTGAGTTGGACAGGACTGGATGTGGCTTTGGGTTCTGCCTGACCTTTCCTACCTATTAAGTCTCTGTGCTTTTCCCATTTTGAGCATTTTACTAGTGCAGGAGCAGTGCCCACATTTCAGGGTTCCTTGGCAGGAAATAAGAGCACAGAAAAATGATACTGATGGGAATTAGTGTATGAACTCTATATTGTAAACCAAGGGAATCCCTTTGCTATCTGAACAGACACCCCCTCCCCAGGATTTCCATTATTTTTTCCAAATTCCAGATAAGTTTACTACAAAGACAAGCTGTTTGCTCTATGTCTTTGAAGAGTTTTTAATCACTCATCAACTAGGTAAACAGATTTTTAAAACACATCCTCAAATTCTTTTTCAAATGTGAAGCTTGAAAAGCACCTTGTGGGCTCAGATTGGAACACCCTGTTCAGCAGCTGGAGTGGATGAGTCAGCAGCACCCGGACATCTTGTTTCTATAGATTCACTGTGAAAGGCTTGCCAGGCAGAGGGCATTCTGACCTTCTTTTGTGAGCAGTGCCTTTTTGCCTCTACAAGCAGAATTCCGCCTTTCTGTATGTGGGCCTACCATACCAAAGATGCTCTGCTAGCCTAAATGGCAGCAAGGCATTCAGTGCCTACTGTGTGTCTCCGGTTCACTGTGCCAGGTGCCTTGATTTCCCCGGACCCACAGTTCTCTAGGGAGGAGCAGGACCAGATGGGGAAGAAGCTCAGGGTCCCACGGTCCCAGGGTGCCAGGCAGAAGCCACAGAGCTTCTTCACACGTGGCCTGGGGAGTTTGGAACTGTTCTGCATCTTGTTGGCAAGTAAGTCATAAGTCAGGAAGGTCAACATGTGTTTAGGGAAGAGAGAATTGGACTCCACTTCTCAGTGGGGCAGTCATGAGGGATTTGTGATCCTCTTTAACACACCAGATCACGTTCCTTGACAGGAAAGCCTCCAAGAGACCTTGAAAGGGAAAGGGTAGAGGGACGTCGGGTATTCATGATCAGTGACCACGTGCAATTTTCCATTGGAGACAAAGATCAAATGATCCTAGGCTGAAGGAGTTGGGGTGTGATGGGTGTTGGCAGCTGGTGTGGGAAACTGGGTGCAGAGCGTTTTCTTAGGATTCTGCTGCTTGGAGGATGGGGCCTAGAGTGGAGGGAGGCCTAGGGCCTCAGGCATTGGCTTGTTTAGTTTGTGAGAATGGTGAGGTCACCAGTGGCCTGTTCTTTTCCAGATCATGATTGCATCTTTTTGTTCACATGTCCCATTGACTGGTTAGGTACTCATGGGAGTTCTGTTCTGTCTGTGTGGTAAATCTTTCTCCTGGCCCTGGCCCTTCTGCCCATACCTAAGGAGGTAGTTTCCTGCAGTGGTTTCCATTTATAAGCACTGCTTCCACCTCTCCTTACATCCCCACTCTGCACCCTTTTCCTTGAACAGTCCTCTTGTTCATTCTTTTCATTTTTAGCTAACACCCCATGGCAAAGGCCCTCAGACCCAGGGCTCCTGTCCTCTGCATGACTTCTCTGAATTACCTATAATGCCAGTGCTCATTTTCAAAACACCCTCACGTTGGCTAGGCCAGAGCCTCTCTGATTTTTTCCTTTCCCCATCTGTACTGTTGGATTGTTTTGGGTTTTCCTCCTGCACAAATACAGCCTGAGGAGCATTGTGTAGGTACGGCCCTGGAGCCCACCCCCCATGCTGCGTTAGAATCTCTGGGGTGTAGCTTTCCATATTTTGTAGGACTTCCTAGTGACACTGATTTTTACAACAGCTCAAGACAATGTTAAACCTTATCATGCCCTAGCCCATTTCCACTGTTACGCTTTGGTTAAGCCTGTGGGATTTCCTGGGCTCTTACAATAGATGAGCATCCGCTCCACTTGTGGCTTGAAACAACAGGTGTTCACAGTCCCGAAAGGCTTAAGGCTGAGATCAAGGTGTGTAGCTCGGGCTCCCCTTTGTCTTCGCACGGTCTCTTCCTCTGAGTGCCTCTTCAAGATGCTTGTCATTAGAGTTAGGCCTCACCAACCATTCAGTGTGGCTTCATCTTGAGAGCCTTTGCCTTTTTTTGAAAGGACCACTCACAGGCTCCAGGATGTGTTCATATCATTTTGGGGGTGGCATATCATCTATCCACTGCCTCTCCCCTCTGGCAAGGATGATGCTCTTCACTGATCACTTCCATTGATCCTGCACCTTGCACTACCTGATTACTTCCTATGTCCTTTCACACTAACTGAGCAAATCCTCCCAGACCCCCTATTCTCCTTTTTAGGATAAGAAACCAAGCTACTTGTCCTGAAGTAGTCTCATCCTGTCTGTTTTCCCAGCTTTCTACAGCTCAAACCCTTCTGGAACTTAGAACTTGGAATTTTCCCAGTCCTCCTTGCTTTGTGTGTGTTCCACGCTTAGTCTTTTGCCTTGGATTCGAGACGACTCCAGAGTGTCTTCCCCAGTCTGTGTGCTGCCAGTGCCTCCTGTCCTGCGCACTTATTACACTGCTGTATCTTCCCCTTCTTTCAGATGGAAGGCCTGGGGAAGGCAGGAAGCTGATTCTCGTCATCGTAGCTCTCGTACTGGCTCTATAAATACCGAATGAATGGCTTAGGAGCTCAGTCTAATTACAAACTCGTTGCGTCCTCACCGTTGCTTTTTCATTACTATAGTGTTTCACTATGGTGTTTTTTACTTTTCATTGTCTGGCTCTGTTAAGTCTGTACATGCACTGGTTTATTTGCTTAACCTACAGTATCTGTGCATCAATGCGTGGACGCAGGCAATATAAATTAAATTGTTTCTGCATGTGTTGGCGTTTCTGACTTCTTCCCTTCATGCTGGATATAGCTTTGAGGCTGTGAAAAAGAACCTCATGAATAAGAGTTAGAATACATCTGAACCAATAAAAGCCCTTATGGATCCTGTTTCCCCTCACTTTTTGCCATAGCCGGAATGTGACATTCGCACAGCCCTGACTGGGAGTGTGTGGCTGAGAACGTGTATGACATAGGAAACCTTGACAGAACTTGTAGTTTGTCTCGTCCACAGCAGTGAAAACGCTCCTCCCAATTGTTTCCTGTCTTGGCTTTAATTGGTTCACACGTTTCCTTAAATATAGGCTGCAGGTCCTGAGTTACGTGGTGTCAAAATGTCTTAAAGTGAGTCTATGGTGATTGTTTACTCGTGAGTACTTGATAAAGTGATTGTAGATTTATACAAAATGTACACTTTTCTGATCTTGCCTCAAGGAAAGAAGAGAGGCCTAAAACCTGAACAAATGATTTATTTAGTCTAGAGACATCTGTAGGTAGCTGGCGTTCCTTTGTGATGAGCATGGAAAGGTTACAGGCACAGACGAATAACCTGTTGGTAATGTAAAACCATCGTCTGCAGCTATTGGCCTACTTCTTACACACACCCAGACCCTTTGTCCCAGCTTGGGCGGCTCCCAGGCCTTACCTGCACCACCACCACACCTCTCTGCTGTGTCCAGGGGAGAAGTGGAGGAGAGCCGCACGTCTGCTGGACCCTCACAGTAGGAACAGGCCACCAGATCTGTGGCCCTCCTCTTCGGTGCACGCAGAGGACCGTTGGGCATCCGTGTTTATCCTAGTAAATTTTATAATTCCCTTTCACTCCTGCTCTTGTGAGGAGGTTCTGCCATGGTGCCAGCAAAGAGTCTTAGTCAAATCCGCACCGCCACATGGGATGCTGGTTAAAACATTCTGAGATCAGATGTTAATCCATGGTTACCACATGCAGTTAAACCCAAACTGCTGGCTGTAATCCTGAATTTCTTGAAACTTTGGCATTAGTTAAATATAAGCAGTCTACCTCAGGACTTGTTTACTTTCCAAGTTATTTTTTTTAGAGTGGGGTAAAGTTCATGTATAATTTGTATAAGCCGTTCTTGTGGTAGTTTTTTTTTTTTTTTTTTTTTTTTTTTTTCTGTTAACCCAGCAGTATAGGGTTCAAACAAATGAGAATGCATATACGATTCAAAACTTTTAAGAAAGAAAGTAATTAAATTTGGTCTTTTTACGAATAAAGATCTTATAGAAAGCATTAACATGATTTGTGAGTAAGAGATGAGTTTTAATTAGCATATTCTTTCCTAACAAGTTCATTTAAACTATTTCTCAAGTGTTTTTCTGAGGCCTGTTAGAATGGCACTAGCTGAATCAAGCCAGTGTTCATATGGTCTCTGCAGAATACTCATTTGCTTATTTATACCCTCGTTTCTTCAGAAAAAGATTTGAAGAGTCTGTCTGTATAGAATAGGAAACCCATGATTACTTGTCCATCACTTTTAAATGAAGTGTCTGGAAGTGATTTGGGCTTTATTGCAGCTGAAGTCTGCTCTCAGCCCTCTGCTTTTGTGAGGGCTCAGTGAGCAGTTTTCTCACCGTTCCTGTCCTGCTCTTGCACTAATGTTTACACCTAACACTTTTAAAACTTACAAGCCACTGTGTGCTTTTGTCTCTGCTTTAGGTACAATGGCGCTTTACCTAATGGTGACAGGGGCAGGAGGAAAAGCAGATTTGCTCTCTATAAGCGGACCAAGGCCAACGGCGTCAAACCCAGCACAATCCATGTGGTCTCCACACCGCAGGCATCCAAGGTAGGTGGCTGTGGTGAACGGTGATATGAACATTTCTCATCAACTGCTGTTTCCTCTGGTCTTCTTTTTAACGGAGGGCAGAGTTGCTCAGCCACGTGACACTGGAGAATGTTTTTGAAGAGCTGTGCTGTGCACTCTGATGGGTTAGCCTTGGCCAGCTAGGTGCCCACAGCATCCCTCCTCCCATTGGTCGTTGTTAATGCTCAAATGTATCTGGAGACCTTGCAGGATGGCTGGTGGGGAGGGCTGAAGTCCATGTTTTTAGGAAAGAAGGAGGCTAACATTCATCACGTTATTGTTGTGTTTGAAAGCTACGTGGTGCTTCTTATCTTAAAGAGGTTTGTATAAACCTGGGTATTAACTTCACAAAGATCTGTTCTTTTCCCTCTGTGCACTGAGCACAGCACGTTGTTACATTGCCTACGTGTTACTTGGAATTGAATTTGCATGTTTTTACGTTGTCCACATGTTACTTAGAATCGAGTTTGCAGGATCAATATGGCGTGAAGTGCACAGGTCTGAGTGATGCAGGATGTTCACTGTGGGCATTTCTTCCCAGTAAGTTTGTGTTGGATTGACTCAGAATAACCCCCCTAGCCTCATATATTCAACCTGGTCCCCACTTGGTGGAACTGCTTGGGAAAGATTAGGAGGTGTGGCCTTACTGGTGTGTGACTGGGGGTGGGCTTTGAGGCTTCAAAAGCCCATGCAGGCTCGTTTTCTGTCTCTGCTTGTTGCCTGTGGATCAGCATGTAAAGCTCTCAGCTACTGTCTCCTTCCTCCTATGATGAATAAAGATCTTATAGAAAGCATTAACATGATTTGTGAGTAAAACCCTGCAAAAAGTGTAAGCAAGCCCCCAATTCAATTTTTATGAGTTGGTCAGTTGCTTTGGTCGTGGTGTCTCTTCATAACAGTAAAACAGTAACGAAGACAAAGTTTGAAATAAATAAAATGTTAATTTCTTTTTTAAATTCTGTATTTTCTGATGTGTAAGCAAGAGGACAGTCTTGAGTTTCCAGTCTGGTTGGCAAGTTACTACACTCATAATACACTGTGATACCTAAATTCTTTGCTAAATAACACTTGCCTTTTCTATAAAATGAGAGAGAGAGAGAAAGAGAGAGAGAGACAGAGAGAGAGATTGATTGATTATGACTTTGAACAACCTGGACAATTCAAGCACTGACTCTGTTTTTACTGGACAGCGGCCTTCAGAGAACATGACACTTCCTTGGAGTGTGTACTTCTGCACAGCATTAACTGTGATCAGCCTCTGGACACTTTGATATCAAGAAGCCCTGATGCAGTGCCATGGAGAGAATATGATAGAATGTACAAGCTCAGATGCTTTGCTAATAATGATGAGTGAATGAAAAAAAGATACTAAGTAACAAAGAGATAGGAAAGATTAATTTTGAATGGACATCACTTTTGGCTACAGAAAGAAACTGAGAGAAAATAACATTTTGTAAGTAAATTTAGATTTTCCAGGATCTGAAGAAAGGAAGAGAGAGAATAGCAATAAGTTCTTGGGAGGTCAAGGACATGAGAAACATTTTATAGTCTGTATTAGTTACTCTTTCTTTTTTTAATCCCAATGAAATGCCTGACAAGCCAACTTACCCTACGCCATTTCAGCAGATGTCAGTTTATGGTGGCAGTAAGGGCACAGTGACCAAATGGCTCAGTCCCTGGTGGCTAGATCTTGCAGCACAACTTTTTTACTTTATGGTGAATCAGGAAGCAGAGATGGTACTGGAACCAAGGCTGAACAAAATAGGACTTTGTCGAGTTGACTCCCAACCAGCTAGGCCTCCCTTCCAAGGTTCTGCACGTTCTCTAAACAGCACTGTCCTCTGGGATGAAACATGGTGCCTGTGCAGGACATGTTGAAGCATCCGGTGAAGAAGGAGAACAAGACAAGTGTTTTGGAGCATGTGACGAGTGCCAAAAATATTCTTGTAGTGTAAATATGGCCCTTTCAGTTTGGCATAGCCATTGACATTTATCTTCCTATTCTTGTTTTGAATCTGTACTGTTAATTATCTTCTTTTTTCCAACATAATATTTTTATTGATTCTTTCTGAATTTTACATCATGTACCCATTATTGCCTTTTTACATTGGAGATTTTATGGTAATCGATGCCCGACAAAAGCTACAGAAAGCTAGGGCTATAGCATGTTGGTAGAGTACTTGCCTAGAATGTGTAGAGTCCTGAGATTGGTCCCTAACAAAACAAACACACACACACTTGCCTGCGTACACATACACGTGTTAAGGAGATTGTACTTTGATTATCTAGACTCATTCTGTGAGATGATGTGAAAAATTGTAGCTGTGGGGTATGTGGGCTCAGTGACTCTTTCTTCTTCTTTCCCCACCTCTCTTCCTGCCCACTTTAGCTTTTATTATTTTACCTTTATGCTTAGGTCTTGCTTTAAAATATTTAAATCATGTATCTCTTAGTAGTTGTCCAGGTCTGCATTTGAACATACAACCCACAATACTAAGAGTCGGGCACATCAGCTCTTGACCTTCTTTGTAATCTGAAAACATTTTTTTTTCCCTCAGAGCCTCTGGATACTCATTTGCAAGTTAAGCAAATTGACAGTAAGCAGGAGCCATAATGTATTTTGGTTATAAGCAAATTCTGGCTAAAAAGTAGGAAGGACAAAAGAAGAGAAACCGTAATGGAAAGGGTAGAAGAATCAGAGTCAGGGGAAAGTTGAGCAACCCAGTGTTGTGAGGGAAGAGAATGTGTGTCTCAGGGGAAGTTAGTAATGTGGCTGCTCTTCCACTGTGCAGTGGCTTGGATTCAGCTGCCCATGTCCCTGCTCAAGGTTTCCATTTTCAGGAGAGAATCTGGTAGGCTGAGCCTGGCCTCACTGTGGCCAAGGAAGATAAAGGGATCAGGGACCTTTTCCTTCCTTCCTTCCTTCCTTCCTTCCTTCCTTCCTTCCTTCCTTCCTTCCTTCCTTCCTTCCTTCCTCCCTCCCTCCCTCCCTCCCTCCCTCCCTCCCTCCCTCCCTCT